CTTTGGCTTTTATGCTTTTGTGAGTCAGTTGAGATTGCTGAACTCTGAGGAAACTAACCTGTAAAATTATGTCAATTTTCTATTGTTTTAGTGAGCTGAATTACACATAGCACACAGCATGAACATAGGAATCATGTGAGTTTGGAGGCAGTGTAGAGATTGGAAAGAAGGAATAAAGCCTGATAGGCCAGCAGCGATTGAAGCGCAGAACCATCCCTTTTGGTGGCAGTCAGCCATCAAGTTGACTCAACCATCTTACGAAACTTCACCCAGAGAGTTTTATTTCCTGCCTAGAAGAAAATCAGTTGCTTTGAAAAATACTAATTAGTTTATTTTAATATGGGATAGTATTGTTAACTCTGAAGTATCTAAAATCATGGTGATGTCAAAATACCTAATCTTAAAAAAAAAAGCCAAACCCAACCTTTTGAACTGTCTTTTTGTTTCTAAGTTCTTTTGCTAGATTCTGAGCTTTTCAGTATGTGGTAGAAGACAGTTTTAGACCGTGTAGCAGCAGCTCTTTCCCAGAAGACTCGGCCAAGAATAGGACTCTCTTGTGCTGAGAAATGTGTAAACACATAAGACAGTTCTTTCCTCAGAGAGCTTGCAGGCTGGTGCCAAGTGGAGTGGTGAGTTTGATGTGGGAGCTGGAATGTAGATGCATGAAACTCAAACAGGCCACAAAATACTCACTTGATGGAAACAACTTTTAAGGCCTGCTGAGTTGGATGCTGGGATGGATTCAATCTACAGTTCAAGCAAAAGATTCTGATACTCATTAGCCGTGGCCCAAGATATCCATGCTTCCATTAGCGTTAGAGTTACACCTTCAAGAATAAGGCTTTGAGGTATTTAAATATGTTCGTTCAATCAAATTCTTTTGCATTAGAGGACATTGGCAGGATGTTCACTCTGGTCAGAAAAGCAAAATAGCTCTTATTACGTGTTATGCTTTCACTCAGCTTTCAGCTACCTGAAATTGGATTATCTGGATTAGAAGTTACTTGTGCTATGTATTCAGACACAAGTCTGGCAGGGTTGTTCATTGAGTCACAGTGCAGTCTCATTTTGTCTTTGGAAACAGTTCATATGTTTTCCTGTAGTGCAAAGCCATAAAATGTACTTGCCACATTCAAGTTGGCTACTTGAAGAGGCAGCAGAAATGTCTCTGCACAATATACCTGGAAAAGGGAGTGCTGAAGAGTATGGCAGAGACAGCTCAAGTTTGCACAGGACTAGTACTCACCTGGAGTCGAAAAGCACATGAGGATCCATGTTCGCTTCTTACAGAGTCATTGAGATCTGTATTCTGTGCTCCCAAGCATTTTTCCCTTGGGCTGGGTTTGTCCATTATCTATGTTATCCCAACTGCCCCAGATAATAGAAAGCCACTTGTCTTACAGCTACACCATCCAGAGTTTAAAGTATTTCCAAGAAATAAATTAACTGCATCAGACTGTTTTGTGCTGCAGTTGAGATTAAAAAAATATTAACACCAACATCCACATCTGCATTTCTAGTTTTGTGATCTAAAATCTCACAGTTGCTGTGCAACTTCTCTATTCACACAGACATGTTTACAGAATTTGTAAAATGTAAACTTGACATTTCATTCCACTACCTGATCCGTAGTATTTGATTAATAGTCTTCAATAATAGGATTAAGTGGTTGTGAAGTATAGTGCTAGGCCTATGAAGCAGTGTGCAAAGGGATGTTACATGTCTTTTCCTAGTGGGCTGTATGGAGTATTTCTGAGCCACCAGTCATGTACAAAACATCAAAACTCTTAGCTTCAGTTTTGGAAAGGATTGCCCAATAGAAATTTGAATTTTAGTTAACAATATTTTATAGACCGTTAAAGATTTTGTAATTTGTATATGGTGTAGAAAGAGATACATGGCCAAATTTTGCAGGCTCTAGGAAGAAAACTTTGGAGCAGTTCATCTGTCGTGTGTTTAACACACGAACCTAAAGTAGTTTTGTTTTTCTGATTTCTAGCTTTAATCAAGCTACGCACGTGCCCATGATTTTGTTTTTTATTTGCCTCACTGGTTGTGGTGTTTGAATCAAATGGGTTTTAGCCTATAGATCTTTCTTCCTCACATCCCAGTGTCCTGAATAAAAATAAAATGTGTTTCAAGATTTCAGAAAAATTCACCCTCGTGAAGGAAGTTCTTCAGTTTATCAGGCATTAGATATTGTAGTTTAGGCAAGAGGTTGTCTATATAGGGGTCAGACAGTAGCTACCTATCAAATCCTATCTTCTCAGGAACTCAGTAATTGGAATAAAGAATATCTTTATTAGACTGATGTTACCGTGACTTGCAGTGTGCATTTCATACAGTCCAGAAAGTTCTTTGGTGTTTTTCAGAGTAAGAATTTCTTCTTGTATTACATTTTCTTTTTGATAGACTTAAAATCATAGAAGAGCCGAGACTGGGAGGGACCTTGAAGTCCAGCCTTTCATGGATAGGGAAGCCTAAATGAGATTATCTAGCACCCTGTCCAGTTGCAGCTTGAAAGTCTCCAGTGATGAGACCTTTACTTAATGTCTCTGGGGAGGTTGTTCCAGTGATTGTTCTCACTGTAAAAAAATGATTTCCTATATCAAGATTAAACCTCTTCTGGTGCAACTTGTACCCATTGCCTCTTGTCCTCTCCATGTGGCTCCTTGTGAAGAGAGAGCCTCTGTCCTTTTTGTAGCCACCCTTTAAGACTTTGTCATCCTCTATTAAGAAGGAGAAAGGGTAATCAATAGTTAAAGTTCTGGTGCCTTGTATGAGCTCATATATTGATACCTGTGATATCTAAATACACTAGATGACATTTTAATGATTTTTTTTTTCTTGAGCTTACACTTTTCTGTTTTCTCGAAGAACTTCTTAGGCAGAAGTGATAGATTTGAATTACAGTTGGTTTCGGCTGATGGAAAAATACAAAATTTCCACATGAAAGAAATCATCTAGTCATTTCCAGTATGTTCTGTCCTCTACAGGGAAAAAGTCAATTTTGTATGTCATGTGGTCATCTTAACTCATTTTTCTCACTGCTCCTTAAGAGTTCTGTGGTATCTATTAGATGTAATCCAAACCACTAAAAATTAATTTCAGAAAGCCTAGTGTCTTGGAAATTGGTCTCTGCGTAAGAAACGCAGGTACCTAGAGAGAAAATGCAACTTACTGAGGAGCCAACCCCCCTTTGTTTTGCTTGTTGGTATAGAGCTTATCTCCTTGATGTGTGATTCATCTTTGTAATGCCATGCATGTGTGTAGTTTTTGTATAACATTACAGCAAATAAAAGAATAGAACCATGTGCATCATGATCATCTTGTGCTTGCAGAGGTCCTGAAACGTTCAACTGAATAGATGCCTTTTCAAGGTAGTTCCACCTGCTTTCACTATAATTCTATGGTTGCCTAATTTGGCATATTTGCAGTACCCCATGAAAACGATCATATTAATGAAGATTTTCCTGCAGCTACGTCTTGTTCTGCAGTCAAACTTGCCTGCAATCCATGACGATTTAACTGGATTTCAGAGTATACCTGCTTGGTAGCTCTAGAACAAGAGCGATTGAAGAGGTGAAAGCTGGAATTCAACTTTCAGCCAGGTTCAGAGGAAACAAAATTTTAATGTGATAAATGAGGCAGCCTCCAGAACAGTGCAGTAGAAGACCTGGATAGGAAAATGACCAAAATGCGTTATCTCCATCCACAGCTGTATGCACTTTCTGATAGACTGGAGACTGAATGATGCTTCTGTGCTCTGTTACTGGACAGTAGTCCAGAGAACAGATGTCTGCTCAAAAGCTGGCAAGGATTAAAAAAAAGAGTTTACTTTCTTCTGTGTATTAACTGTAATTTTTTACATTTTTATGGAGGATAAAGGAATAGACATTAAATAATAAAATGTAGATGACTGGCTTAAATCTTCTTCCTTTCAGTTTCCTTTTAGAAGTCCTGTCCTTATGCTCTAACAGCTGATAGCCCCAAAAGGTGAAACTGTTTTTATTTAGACATCTGGTTAGAGTAGAAAGTGAGAGATGTTATCACAGAGAGTGACCTCATGATCATACTACATCATTAATCAATATTTTAAAATTAGTGTTACAACAGCTATAGTTAATGTGAATCACTTGGGTGCAGTGAACAGTTGGCCACAGTCCAAAATGTTTCTTTTTCTCTCTCAGTTCTGTTCTCGCCAACTAATAGTTCATCTGGGGACGCTGCTGTGTACAGCTCCTGTTCCACCGATAAGTGTCTTGCATAAAGGAAAACAGCAATTTGGCTGGTTGGGTATATTTCTTTCCTTACTGTTAAGCAACACAAACAAACAAAAGCCCAAAGAAACAAATCACAAACCTAGCCATAGATCCTATTAGGTAATTTAATCAACTGGTTTTTCATTGACCATAAGATGGGCTTTGCTTTTTGCTGTGATGTGATGTATTGCATTTGAGCAACAGGTGTTTGGACCTTTTATGATTAACTGTAAATCTGTTGGTGAAGTTTAATCCAGTCTCTAGTACCAGTATGTGTTTACCTGCATCCCACCAGGTAGATAGTATCAAATAAGAAGAAAAAGATTGTTCCTAACCTGACAATATTTTGCATGAACGGTAGCAATTGTATTTAAAAACTTGTATTACCCCTTTTTATGGGAAATGTATGATGAACAGGAAGACTTTAATAAATCATAATGGAAACTGAACATTGTAATGAGTTTTTTGTATTCTGGTTGAATAGAACAAAATGTGCATGTGTGGTTTTTGATACATAGCTGGAGCTACAGTATCCATTACTACAAAACAGAGTAGCTAGGGTTTTATGCAATTTTTCATTTCTGGGTTAACTGTGTAACTCGGGTGCTCAGTGAATCTCATTGAAAAAATGTAATCTTTGTGATAATCTGTAGATTGTCTGTCATGCATCTCTGAAATGCCACAAGTGATACTACTAAACATCTAATTGATCAGGCATTTTTCTTCCTATGCAGAAGCTTCAGTATGAGGCGGGGTGGATGGCGGAAACGAGCTGCCGATGGCGATGGCTGGGGAATATGGGTATGTTCAAAACCGAGTGGCTTTGTAACTTTTTTTTTTCCCGAAAGGGTTTACAATTTCATTATGTATGCTAAAGGTATGCTGTAAATTAAACCCTTGTGCTTCACAGAATGTACTTTCAAGCTTTACTTGAAAACTCAAAAAGTTCAAAAGAAATTTTTTAATTTACCAGGTTTTAAAGTCTTCATTCACAATAATCCACTGAGCTGCATTATTAATAGATGCAGACCCTTGAATAGGTTTAAATCACTATTAAAAAACTAAAGTAAATAATTCTAAAATGTTTTATGGTTATTTCCACCACATTCTGTATAGCTGGACAAACAATAACTGAGGCACCTAGTTTACATAAATATTTACAATACTACTGTCCCATGTCTGTTTTAAGAACTGAAATACATGGAGCTTAATGAGTATTCTCTACATTTTTTCTTTAGACAATGAGCCTCCGATTTAGCATCCAAACTTGCATTGTTCCCTTTTTTTTTCTTCTTTCTTTTTGTTCCATAAGAATTTTTATATAAATAGAATCATTTACTTATAGAGTAAGATAAAAGAAGTATGAAATAAACCCTGCCATGTTGGTAATACAAAGCAGTTATCTTCTAGATAAGAATTTAGGGTGGAAGATTTGCTGGTTTGCATTTGGAAAAAGAATGTGTCTTGTATGTCAACCAAAATCAATGTGAAGGAATGCTGCTTACCTTTCCAGTGTTATAATTAACTAGTTTCTGTCTGTAAATGTCAGAAAAGAAGGCTACTATCATGGGGAGTTTTTGGTCATTTGCTTTGTTTTGTTTTAACTTAAAAACTAGGGAGGGTACATGTCGGCAAAGGTTAAGAAATTGGAGGATCAGTTCCGGTCAGATTCAGCCATACAGCAACAGAGGGATGGAAATTCATCAAGTATCTTTAGTGGAGTCGCCATCTATGTCAATGGCTTTACAGGTGAAGCTTTTATTTTGTTTTCAAGAATGTGTTCTGTGTGGTTCTAGTGTCTATTTACTATCTTAAGTGAAGTAAAGAACTGTAAAACACATGAGTTTGGAGCTAAGTAAATACATAGAAGTTACGGTATATGTTTTGTATGTTATGTTCCTTAGTATTTCAAGACTAAAGTTTTCAACATAAAATCAGATTTAGGTTCTGAATACAAATACTACTTTATTTATGTTTGCGTGGATACATCAGGGTTTTCCTGCTCAGAGTGGTGTAATGCTTGAGACAGTGAGCCCAATAATAGTGGCAGGTGGAACAGAGGAAGATGTAAAACACATATATACATTGCCTGTGATGGACTGACAGTGCATGTTAACTGGAGTAAGATTTTTAATCTACCATACTTATGTTCATATTTCTCCTGGGTTCTGTAAAGCAGCTTAATAACCTTTTTGAAACTTCCCAGAAGCCCTTTTCAGGGACCTCTGCTGGAAATGTGGCTGTTATATAACTGATGTGTACAGCTTCTCTAATATGGAGCAGTGCTGGTTTGAGCACAGCACCTAAATGGACTGAAAAAGGTTAAGGTAGACATGATAAACTATTAAAACATCTGAATCACTTTTTTAATACGGGCAGTTTCTTCAGTGGATATTCTTCAAGGTACTAGTTCCTAAATAGAGCTCTACAAGATGGTTGTCCAAAAGGCTGGGGTAGAAAAGGTAACACTTGGAGAAAATGGGTGTTATTTTTATTTAAAAGTTAGAGGTATAACCAAATGTTAGAAATATCTTGAGAGCTGACAGTAGGCCACTGAAAGGAATTGTATTTAAAAAAACCAACTTCTTACTTCCTGTATTTTTTTTTTTAGTATCTTGTGCCAGATTTACCATTCAGAACTTTCTGTTTGTGCTGACCCAAACCCTTTGGTGCAAGTGTGACACCACTGCAGAGGTTTTCTAAAAGCTAATTTTTTTTTTCCCCCACCTCTGCTTCTGAAATAAGTATTCTTTTTAACATGACTGAGGGGATAAGAAGAGATGTTAGTTTTTAAGGTATTCTCTGTTCTGTGTAGCAATTCAGGAATAACCTGGTAAGGGAAAAATGAGTTAACTTGTTCAGTAAATCAGTAGTTCTACAGTAGGAGTTCTGTGCTGTTTCTAAACCCTTTATATATTTTTTTATATTACTTCTGGGTATAAACTACTCTCCCAAACTCTGGTGAAAAGATAAGTGAGTTAATCTAATACTTGGTTTTGTGTTATGTTGATGTAACCTGCTTGAGTATTTTTCCCCCCTTCCACCATGCAAACTGTGGAAAGATCCTCTATAATAAGTGTGGAGTGTTTGCATTTTGAATCAGTCTCTTCAGTAACGGTTTTCTACATTTCTTCAGAAGTGCTATTCTGATTTGTTCTTTGAAGAAGTTTTTCAGGAGAAAACTATGGTTTCTGCTCTTTCTGATCATAGCATCATATTTCTCAATTAAAATTGTTTTTCTTACTGTACTTGCTGACACAAAACAGGAATATTTCTGGTTTTAATTTTATAGATCCCTCAGCTGATGAATTAAGACGGCTAATGATGTTGCATGGAGGCCAATACCATGTGTATTATTCTAGATCAAAAACAACTCACATCATTGCCACAAATCTTCCAAATGCCAAAATAAAAGAATTGAAAGGTGAAAAAGTAGTTCGGCCAGAGTGGATCATGGAAAGGTAAGTTTAGGTCCTACTGCTTTTGGGGATTACTCCTTTGGGGGGGGTGGGGAAAGAAGAAAAATCTGGAAGAACAGCATTATAGAAGATTGCATTTTGAGATTATAGTTTGATTTAAAATATATCTGTCCTTGCAGCAGTTGAGTTCAAATACCACTGTTACAATGAAGATCTGCTGCTTAGTGGTTGTTCCTTAAGAAACTTCACTAGAACATACAGAAAGTCTTAGGCAGATTGGGAAGCTGAATGTTATCCTATTGCTTCCATTTAATATCCAATCAATTGATGAGCCTTCATCTCAGTATGTTTAAATATCTTGCCTTGTGCATTGCATAAGTTTAACTTCATCTGTAAATAAAGAATGTCAACTGAAAAGCATTTTCATAAAATTGAAATTAATCCATCTAAACATTTATCATGTTGTGACTTTGTAACAAAACGAAAACTCAGAATTCAAAAACACTTCCACAAGCTTTATTTACAAAGAATATGAAATATCCTAAAATGTTCCTTATGATGTCTTGTGTTCAGGTTCTGCGTCTCCTGGTTCTGGAAGGTTGTACTGTAAAATAAGCCAGAAGAACTGAGTTCAGACAGATACCTGGGGTTGGGCACAGGGAGACAGGGAACTCACTGTCTCAGCAGAACAGGGTTTGTGTCAGTCTCTGAAATAAAAGCAAATTTCACAACCACCCCTCATTTTTCCCCCTCCTCTCAACAGTACTGAAGAACACTCATTGATTAAATAGTCCACCCCTGTGTATGGGGTACTAAATTATTTTCTTAGTAGATCAATTGGTGAAAATCAGTGCAGTGGATATAGAGGTTCCAAATTTGTTGAATATTCATGTGTCCATCCTGTTAGTGCAATATGATAAGTTTGGTTAGAATCAACCCTAAAATGTTGCAGTCACAGATTTCTATTAAAGCAGTGTTGTTACATCTTCAGTCTTGTCATCCAAGGTTGCAGAAGGAAAAGGTCATTTGTCTGTGGAGCTTTGATTTATTTCTTTGTGTGCACACATAGTGATCTAGACCTTAATTACGTGATCACATGCTGTCTTTTTTCACTATGGTGCCTACCACATTCTCTTCACAGAAAAGATTGAATTCAGGTTGCAGATTGCTAATTCATTTTCCTTGGTTTTTGCTTCTTCCTTCTATAACCCTGTTACTGCATGTGACTCAAATTCTTTGCTTGTAATGGAATGAATAATCAATTCTTGTCTTTTGTTGGTGCTTATCACTGTAGCATCTATCTGCTTTCAAAGATTAATGAACTTGGCACTTAACTACTAATCGCTGTTAATTTCATTTTTTGTTTGAGAGCCACCAAAAATACATTAAGGTAAAACAGCAAAAATATCAGTGATTTGGAATATGCCATGTGAACAATGTAAGATAAGATTTTTCAGTGATACTTCTACAAGGATAGTGAGGCATATGTTGAAGTTTATTGCTGTGTTAAAAGCTTTGCATATTCTGAACTGTGAACGTTCTGAACTATGGTCTAAAGTCAGACTCTCATAAACCTGTTGCTAAACGCAAGTAGCTCTAGATTTTTGGGTTAATTAGCACCACATAGAAGTCCTGGGGCAACTGTAGTATTGTAGAGTAATGTGTGGTTGCTTTAGCGATGACATCTTTCTTTTTGCACTCCATATGTTTTTGCTACCTCTCCGTTTCTGCAACAAATGAAGGAGGACACTTGCAGGCAGACCTCCTTTCTAAATCTTTCTTCTGTTATTTGAAAAATACGCAACATAATTATGTACCTTGGAAAGGTTGTTGTGCAGTGTCCAATGGAAGCCAAAATAAGGTGACCTAAATTTTGACATAACCTGATTTGAGACCTTGACTTTCTAATTTGAATATTCTTTTATATATTTATAATAAGATAACTTTTCAGAGGTTGAGGATAACTAACTTTTTTCCTGGAAATTAGCAAAGCATTGAAGAGGAAGGAGGTGGCTTTTATGGGTAGATTGGAAGCAAATGGAGCAGGCCTGCTGTTTAATGGTGGAGCAATCTCATTACAAAGGATATGGAAAAAGTTGAGGTACTCAATACTGCCTCTTCTTCAGTGTTTAGTGGCAAGGTCTGTTTTCATGATTTGAAGGCCTGTGTGCCTAGTGGACATTGGTGATGCAGTGGAAATTACCTTCAGCAAGTTTGTGGATGATGACAAATAGAAGGGAACAGTTGAAATACTGGAGAGCAGGGCTGCCCTTTGGAGAGTCTCAGCAAACTGGAGGAATGGGATGACAGAAGCTTTATGAAACTCAGTGAAGTCAAATGCAGAGTCCTGCAAATGGGACAGAATTATTTCCATGCAACCAGAAAGGCTAGGGACTCACTGGCTAGGGCATACCTTTGTAGGGAAGGACTTGAGGGTCCTGGTGGACTGCAAATTGGCCATGGAGCAGGAGTTACACCCTTGTGGAGACAAAAGCTAACAAAATTCTGGGTTACATTAGCAAGAAGCAAAGAGTATAAGGTAAAGATTTTTCACAGTGAAAGAAAGTAAGCAGTGGAACAGGTGCCTAGAGAGACTGTGGAATTGCTGCCCTTTGAAATACTAAAATTTTGGGTAGATTCAGCCTTTGGCAACCTTACCTGACTAAAGATAACCCTGCTTTGAGCAGTGTTTGGACTAGAGAACTCCAGAGCTCCTTTCCAACCTAATTTTTTTAGTGGTTATGAATTCTGTGATCCAGGGAGTATGGAATGGAGAAAGATGTTGAATGATGCATTTAAAATAGGTTTCCTGTTGTTGCATCTTAATATGGTTTGAAAAACAAAACAAATCAAAAATCTGTGTTTTTATCTAGTAATGCAGCTGCTCCAGTAGCTAAAATCTTAGCATAAGTTCTTAAATAAGTGTGATTTTTTTATCGTCTTGAAATTGCAGTAATGATTTTGAAATACTATCTGGATGATTATGCACCCAGGTTCACGTAGTGATGTGAGAAACAGTCTAACCAGGCAATGTAAAAGCTTAACTGCTGTATCACTACTTTCTGTACAAGAAAGCTTTAGAACTCAATTCTGCCATGTGTATTTTTAACTCTGTTTGGCAACGTTTGATGTAAATTATTTTCCTTTATGAATGCTATGTATTAGTGTATCAAACAATATTTAATTGATATATTTTTAGGGCTGTTGTTACTACCATCCCATTCCCATAGAAACCTTACCAAATTTCTATGTATGTGCCTAACTAGTTTTAATTTATCTAATTGGGTGATGCCATCTCCCACTGTATTCTCTCTAATTGCAGCACAAAAGCTCCTAAGGGTTTTGTTTCACTGTCCAGTTCCCTTGACATCAGTACAGATTTGAGCTAGTTAAAAAGCACAGAGAAAGCATTCAGGTGTTGAATAAAAGAAAAACAGCCTCTGTCACTGAGCTAAATTATCTTTAAAAGCTTGAATCCAATTCTGTCTTCAAAACTGAACAGTAATATTAAGCTGCTTTGATATGAGAGAGGTTTGTCTGCTGTAAAAGGTTTCAGCATCTCTGACCCCAGTGTTCAATACGAAGAGTTGTATATGAAGAAGAGTTGAAGTACACGGAGTACAGGAAGGCAGTTACCTCTACTGCCAGCAACAAGCATTGAGGTGGAGAGATGAAATCATGCTGTGGTGTGTTTTTGAGAGGATTCCGCTTTGAAGTCCATGACTTTCCTAAGGAATGAAGTAGCTATTGAAGTGTAACTGCAGTTTCAGTGGAGCTCATAGGACAGAACTGTAATGATGTGGTAGATATTTATGGAAGGTCTGTTTGGAAATTTTTATTCTGTCTAGTTTTCTTCAGTGAATTTTCTCACAAGAAGGGGTAATTATCCTTTTGGAATGGAAAAAGTAGTTCCTCTTTAATAGTGAACTATATCCTAGCTGACCTCCTCCTAATTCTACACAGATTTGCTTGGGACAAATGCATTTGCATTGTTTCAAGTTAAAGAGCTCAGACAGAATTGTTCAGGTAGAATAACCTGGACCACTCACTTTTTTTTTTCTGTCTGGTTATTGTTTATTGTTTAGGTTTTTTAGTTAAATATTTTTGTTTAGTATGTGTCAGTTGGAGAAGAGAAATGGATGTAGACAACTGATCAACACAACTGTGCAAATACCTTTTGTAGTATCAGTCACCACATCACAAGTTACTTTTCAGTTCAATTCAGTTAGTAGTGGGAAAGGGGTTGAGGAAGGGGCTGCAAGTACGTGTCGCAGAACAGCACAAGGTAATGACCAACGTAACAGTTTATTGTACATGAAGTATTTTTTTAGCCTAGAAGGTTAGGGGTTTTAAAAATGGTTAAGTAGTAACCTGTTCTTTTTCTTGTTTCAGCATTAAAGCTGGACGTCTCCTCTCGCACATTCCGTATCAGCTTTACACCAAGCAGACAAGCATTCAAAAAAGTCTCAACTTCAATAGCAAATGCAAACCTGAAGATGCCATGCCAGGTCCAAGCAATATAGCTAAAGATCTCAACAGGGTGTAAGTGTTTCTGATCTTGTAATGCACATGCTAACCATTCACCCATAATGAGTTTGCGTTTATATGGCATTTTTAAAATTCATTTCAGCTTTGTAAGAGGGAGGCACTGAAAACTAAAAATAAAGTACAGCTATATAAATAGTTGAGGAGGTGACTAAGTTATCTTAACTCGCAGCCTTGTCTCTAGTCTTTGGACAACACTGCTTGATAATGTGACCTTGGAGTCCTAGGATATGTGTATGGAAGCAATAGGCATACATTCAAGGATTCTGACTAGTGACACCGAAAAGTAGGTCTTTATTTCTAAAACAGAAAGCTGATATGATTTGATAACTTTTGCTAAAGGTGCCTTGGAACAAATGTAAATGCATGCTAGTTAAGTTCTTTAGTTTCTTAAAAAAAAAAGGTCACAGTGTATCTTATGTATGCTAGCACTGAGGTTTAAGGCATGCTTGAGAGAGAAGGTGGATTAAAAAATCCAATTACAATGTAAAAAAGTCTTCTAAAAGACCTTGAGAAGGGAGTAGAACAGAAAGCACCAGCAGAACTCTTAACTGACAGAGGAATTAGAATTTGGAAAGAAACCTTTACTTGAACAGACTGTTCTGTAGATTTTTTTTTTTAAGAGGGTTCCTGCATCTTTTTCAGAAGCACATATTTGTTGTTTAGAGGCAAGAGTTGTAAAATTACAGAATGTTTGAGGTTGGAAAAGGCCTGTGGAGGTCATCTGGTCCAACACTGCTGCTCAAACAGGGCCAAGGATGCTGTACAAGATACTGTGCTTTCTGATTTGTTATGGTGATCTGTGTTCTTTCGCAGTCCGCCAATGTATTTAAAATCCAGTTCTGCATAATGCTGAGACTTTACACATGATTGGGATATGTCTGTATTTAGGAAATACAAAGCCAGTGCCACAAAATTATTATCCTGAAAAGTATTTCTTACTTATATTTTAAATGAGTGATACAATAGCCATCAGCTCTTATTATTGCATTGTTAATACTTTTTAAATGAGAAGAATATTCAGACTTTCAAAAATATCTATTTAATCTGAAAAGCATGAGTTCAAACGTCTGTCCTATCCACTAATACTAATATGTACCACTGTGTATACCACATTCAACTGTGCAAGTCCTCAAAAATGCTATGTTTAATATATGATTGTGATAATCTTAACAGAATTGTTGTCACACTTAATAGGCTTTCTGCTATACTGGATAGCTAATTATTTCCCACCTTTTTTTTGTGTACTTAAATTGCTAGCTTTGGGAGTTGGGAGTGATATTTGTTGTTTTTTCAGCAGATCAGGACTATGCACAACTCGTGAAGACTTTTGTTTTAATTCCACTTAGGGTTTAACAAAGTTAGTTTTTTGAATGAAAGCTTTGCCGCTAAACTGTCAGAGCAAATATGAGTTGCCAGTGCTCTTTTGGCAGAATGCTTGGTTTTATATGCTTAAATGATGAAAAGTAGTTTATTTGGGTTTTTGTCAAAACGTAAGATTGTGTTTGATTTATAGAGCAGCCCTGGTTTTGCTGGGATAGAATGATAGAACCAGTTTTCTATTCAGGAAGGCTGCATTTTTGAGAAGACTCAGCACTTGAGTTGATGGGAGCAAAGTTGAAAGACACTTGTAGTTTTTGGCCAGCACTGGCATGCAGGTTAACACAGTGTTCAAGAATTTTAGCAGTTTTGAGTTAGCCAGGTGCAGAAGCTAGGAGGACGAAAAGCCAGGGCAGGTGACCCAAACTGGCCAACAGAAGTATTTCATACCATCAATATCACGCTCACTACAAATTGGGGAGTTTGCTGAGGATGGCCCTCTTTCCTGGACAGTCACCATCTGGAGGGTCTCACCCGTGATTCTGCTCCCGAGCCTTACCTCCCTATTCATTGGGACCATTGCACTCTGGCTGGAGCTGTGACACTCGCAGTGTTTGTCATCTAACATTCACTGCTGGGTACGCACAGCTTGCAGCCACTGCATGGGCTGAGTATAACTTTGTCTATTTTATATTAATGTTGACATTAATGTTAGTTTCTTATTTTATTAAATCTGTCTTGATTTCAACCCATGGGTCTCCTTTCCTGTTCCCAATTCTGCTCAAGTGAGATGGGGTCATTGGTTGATAGAACAACTGCCTAAATGGAGACAAGAGCTCGAGCAGATTTTTCCTTGAGAGTAGATAAAATAAATCTAACACATAAAACTAAAATAATTCTCTAAAAACCAGAGGTTTTGTATGTATACTTTCTTTTTTTCTGTTTTGTTTGTTTACTTGTAACTAGTAACATCTCTTGATAAAAAGATAACTCCTTCTGGTGGTTTTCATATTCCTGCACCATTCATGCTGTCCATGGTAGTGCAATTCTGTTAACAAATAAATAGTTATTGTAATTCAGTTGGAGACTGCTGGTCATATTAAAGGCTTTGGAAATAGCTTTTGTAATGTGAGTAAGATTTTGGCCACTCCTGTGTAAACTCCCGGGAGTTCTATGTTAATAATACACCAAATCTGTTAAATCTTTTGTACAGCAACACAATATTTTGTGACATTAAGAAGACATAGCTCAGAGTTTGAGATCGTTGTCTTTAGAACGTAAAAGCTAATGAAGTATATATTGATAACAATTAGGAAGATAAATACTTAGCACTTGAAATGTCCTGTAAGTGTACCTTTTTTTGGTAAAATATATGTCATTAAATAATTGTGTCTGTTTCAGAAATCATGTTAAAAAGCGTGAAGTGGAAGACGAGATCACACCCAATGGAATAAATAGCTGGAATGAAGAAGAGGAGGAAGAAAGTGATGATTTTGGATTTACAGAGCTGGAACAGATCCTTCCTGGACGGAAACAAAATGGGATTCAGTTGTCTCACAAAGACAGCACTGCCATTTTTAATGGACACACACACACTTCTGCCAGTGCCTTAAAGACACAGGATTGCTTGGTGAACTCCGGCAACGGTGTTGTAAGTAGGCTCTCTCCAATTCCTGTGCAGGAGGAGGGGAAGACTGAAAAAGGCGTGGTTGACTTTAGAGACTGCACAACACAGCAGTTGCAGCAAAGCAACAAAAATACAGACTTTCCTTGGAATCCACATAGGACTATGAGTAATTCATCCTCATCTTCATCTTTGCACAGTAATGCTAAAATAAATGGTGCTCACCACTCCACTGTTCAGGGGCCTTCAAGCACAAGAAGCACTTCTGTACCTGCTCCTAGCAAGGCAGCTTCCTTACCTGTGTCCAAACCTTCAGATTGTAGTTTTATTTCTGACTTCTATTCACGTTCAAGACTGCATCATATATCAACGTGGAAGTGTGAACTGACAGAGTTTGTCAACAGCCTGCAAAGAAAAAACAGTGGTGTCTTTCCAGGAAGGGAAAAATTAAAAAAATGGAAAGCAGGCAGGTCTGCACTTAAAACTGACACAGGTAGATACTTGTTTAAGAAGGTTTATGTTGAGAAAGTGCCTTGTATCTTTGTTTGTACATTAAATGTCTAACTGAGACTAAGTAGGTTAGTATTCGATATTCACATTACAGTCAGGATATCTGGAAAAGCTTGGTGACTTTAATGCACTGAAAACTAAAGGATCCAACTGGTTTTGATTTTGTTTGTTTTGAGTTTTTTTCACTTAAAATGTGACTTAGTGTGATACTCTGGTCTATACTGAATTCCTCCTTGTAGAAACAATGTTCCTGACTTTACCAAGATATGTGGATTGATCAAAAGAAAAAAATTCTATACTTATCTCTAATTCATAAGTCTCTGGTTGCTGTGTGAAAATCCAAAAAGAGAAAACAGAAGAAAAAAACCTTGCTGCTTATAGTTCACTGTGAAAGTTTAAAAGACGAGTAGCATTTGGAAGTGAACTAAGATTTAGATTGGTTTTTTTTCTTAGTATGAGTTTTATATACTTCTGAGTCTGTTTAAATGGGTAGCAGTGTCATAAGACTTTTAAATCTGGTGTGTGACAGAAATGTTTTATGTTACTATATCAAGGACCAAAATGAAAAAATACATGTAAATCGTGAGACACAGTGTGTTACAAGTATAAAGTATTTTGCATCTTTAGAATCTCTAATTTACAGCCAATTAAAAGGCTAGCTCTGTACCATCAAAGAGATTCTGACTGTTGAGCTGTAAAAATATTCACTTGTAATCATATGAAAATAATCTTGATGACAAATTACCACACCCTAAATATTATTGTTAGGGAAATAAATTCACTGATTCTATGTTTGCACTAGGACACCCCAGTTACAAAACATGTTAGCTTGCAAACTACCTTAATGTGTACTTTTTTCCATCAAAATATGGTATACGCTAGCATATTTTTATTTTCTATTTGATTTGACCCAGTGTTTCAATAGTTAATGACTGTGTTTCAGTTGACAAGTAGCAGCTTCTTAAGCATTAACTTGATCACTTGATTTGTAAATATGCCCTTTATAAGACAGTCCTTATATTTCAAAGGATGAGTTCAAATGGTAAATTATTAGAAACAGGAAAATGTTTTTATGGTTACTCAGTAATTAATTCAGATGTTAAAGAGAACAATTCACTTGATGTATTGAAGTATTTTTTCACTGTTATATCTTATACATTGTTCAAGTTAAATTTGGGGGGGGTTGTTAGATACAGCCTCTTCTGGTAGGTAAGCAACAGAGATGTGCAGACTTGAACTTCTAGCATACTTGACACAAGTATTTCTAGTGCTTTAGGTGTATAAGCTTTTCAGTCTGGAGCCGTCTTGCTCATCTTTGCTGAATGTTTGTGTACATGTAGGTACAGCAATGACAAAATCCAATTGCATGGGAGGTTTAAATCTAATTTTGGTATTTTTAATGATGAATTAATAGTAGGTCTTTGGAACAGTCTTCTAATTGAACAAGAAGAAGTCCTCTGTTCCAGGTTCAGTGATAACATAATGAATTTAAGATCCAGTTCCCACAGCATGCATTAATCTCCTTGGATTGGGGGAACTTGCTAGTTAGAACATGTTAATTATGAGAAAATAAAATAGAAGCTTTAAGTTGATGCATTGTTTAGGCTGTTTGTCTACTGTTGATGTTTACATTTCTCTGAGAATTTTGTAAATGTAAATAACTTCTTGGTGAGAAGAAACAAAAATCTTTATAATGTTAAGGTGGTAAGAACTTGATAATAGTCCTTGATGACTACCGTGAGTAGTACCAAATTGTATAAACTTCAGGGTTCAAGTTTTCTGTTGATGTATCTTCATACTAGGTAATGTGTCTGTTGCGAACTCAGCCAAGCCACAGAGCTGTATAATGCACGTGGATATGGATTGCTTCTTTGTGTCTGTGGCTATCCGAAATAGACCAGATCTCAAAGGTCAGTATTTAATTCTCTATGTTACAGTTTACTCGGTTAAGCCTTTAAAAACATACCCAAACTTGGACACTTACAAAATGAACTTTGCATGTTAGTTTTTTTTCTGGTGTTTTTGATAGTCAGACCATGCAACTTTCTTATTTCTACTTACTTTCTCACAATCCAGAAACAAGTGGAAGAGAGAACAGGAATTCTTGCAGTCTCCTTTCAGTATCTAAAGTAAGAAGAGATAAGGAAGATGTAGAGGAACTATTCTCTATAAGATTACACCTATGTTATTGAGACTAAACTCTACCATATTAGAAATTGGAGATCAAAATTGGAGGTCAAATTGTAGGACCAAAAGTGAGGTTTTGTCACTTTCCGTTTTAAAAAAAAAGAAGGAAAAAAAAAAAAGGATAGCCTAGTAATTTTTGTGAAGTAATGTAAGGAGCTTTGCTTAACTAGACAAGTGGGAAGGTCAGGTCTGAGAATTAATTGTCTCTTTGCCTGATTCATCTTTTTCAAGGAAAATTTGCTTCTGTCTCAGCTGTTATGCATGAAGTATTGTAAGACCTGGAGGATGAACAATTCAGTTGACATTTTGAAGTCTGAGTTGTGCAAACAACATTAGGACGTAGGAAGAGGTAGTGGAGCTCCTTAGCAAGTTTTTTTTAGAAGTGTATGGTTTAGAAATGGAGATGCTAGTTGTTCTGTGCAACCACTGAACTTAGTGGTGACTGTATGCCGCCCAGCTATCGTCCACCTTGGGAAAGAAGAATAAGCTGTATGTACAATTCCTTTGCTCTCTTCTCTCCAAAAGCAGGAGCAACTGTATCAAAGATACTCCTGGTATGTTTGGGTCTTTCAAACTTTATTTCCTGCCAAGTTTCAAATTCCATTACTGAAATATAAAGAACCTAGGACTTTTCTGCAAATATTTTTTCTGTTCCTTGGAAGTCTGAACTTTCAGTGCATAAATTAGCTTCCTGCAGAAAAACTGTGGAGGTGTTAATATTGCTAAAAAGTCAAAAGTTTATTAAAAATTTGATTTTGTACAGTTAATTAAACAAATGGAACTGAGTGTGTTGGGGTGTGTGTGTACTCTTCTAGTTTACTGAAGCTAATAAACATGAGAAGTATTTAAAATCAGTACAGTGTTTGCTATGTCCTAAACTAATGCATTAAGGCATTGGTGAGTTTCACAGCTTCCATTTATATTTGTTATTAAATACAAACTAGTATAGCTGTATTTTCAGTCTTGAAAAGCTTTTCTTTACGCGTGACCGCAATTAGGACAGCAAATGCATAGTCACAATGCAAAGTGACTTTCATAGCTGTTTCCTCCTTAATGCTCTAAGAGTGTATAAGCTTGAAAGAAATTATAGAAAAATTAAGCAGATGTCTTTATGATCTTACCCTATTTGTGCTGTTACTAAAATGTAAGCTATTATAGATGCTGACTTATAAATACATGCATTTCTTCTCCACAGGAAAACCGGTAGCTGTTACTAGTAACAGAGGTGCAGGAAAGGCACCACTGCGCCCTGGTGCAAACCCCAAGCTTGAACAGCAATATTACCAGAATAAGCTCTTGAATGGCAAAGCAGGTACAGATAAGACTGTTTGTTTGTCTCTGTGTTTTTAAATTTTGTCACTGAAGACTTTTTTCCTTAAAGTTATTAAGTGCAGGGTGGAGAAACTTGTTTTTTTCATCCGGAGGATTTCAGAAAAGAAGTTTCTTTGGACAACATGGTGCTCTGTGTCCTCAGTAATAACATGGCACTGTGGCTTCTTGTTAGTTAGCTTTGCTCAGTAGGGGTGGATTATTTTAATTTTAAGTTTTACTCACTTTCACTGAAGTTGAGTATAAGATACAATGTTAAGTGCTTTTTTAAAAGTAAGAAACAAGTGCTTTTTTGAAGTGAGAAACAAATATAGATTGTCTGGGATCACTTGGTTCTGACTCAAGTGTACTACAGAGAAGAAGATACAAAATAAATTTTAAAAGGGTACTAATTTTTTTTCTATAAAAGTAGAAATGACAGTACATGGGCAGTGAAAACTGATTGTTTGAAGTTAGCTTTTGAATTACACATGTGCAATATCTGTGTACAATGAGTTACTTTGAGTGGTCCATAGAGCATTTTAGGTTTCTGGAAAAGTCCATGCAACTTCCATGAATTCTATCTCTCAAGTACTTTGTTGTCTCAAAACCAGGCTATCTGTCCTAGTTTTAGAATTCCTTACTTGCCTGCAGTAATTTAGAAATTTGTTACTTTCTGTGTCCTCAAGTAGTAGTAATATACTAATGTAAACAAAGCCTACTTCTATTAACACATTTTATTATTATACTGCCTGAACTGCATTTAATATTAGAAAGTATATTGCTAAACATTGGCAACTAGTTTCTCTCTCTTTTTTTTTCCCCAACAGTCTGCTTAATCAGCTTGAAGCTTAGTTTTTACCACCAGGTTGGTAAAAAGTGCACATGCAAGGGGCATCTGCTATTTATGTTCAGTTTAGATTTGGAAGTTTAGTTTTTCCTTGACCTCTTTGATATGGACTTTTTACCAAGCTTGTGATAGCAAGTACTTTTTTTGCAAAGTTTACACCTCAGTTTGGAACAGGAGGTGGAAAAAGACAGGTTGTTCTTCCATGGTTATTTCTAAAATGTTCATACTTTAAAAAAAAAAAACAATAAACAAGCCTCTAAGAAATTCTGCCAATCTTCAGAGACGTTTGGAAACAAGTTATTACAGGAAGTGATACCATTTTATTTGTCTTTTTATTGTAGTTTAAGAACACTTCAAAACTGAGGTAGAATATATGTTTGTGAAACCCACTGGCCTTTAACTTTTTAAGGACTTTTCAGGATTCTCCAGACTTAGCTTCTGCTGTGTTGTTGCATTGCCATGTGTGAATGTATTACATGGATGTCTGTGGCTTTTGTGGAGTTGGATCTTCTGTAGCATAGCTTGTGTATGAACTGTCTGTTGGTAGTTCAGTTTTATACCATGACTTTGTAACTGTGATAGGACTTTACACTGCATAAGGGTTGGTAAGGGACTTGATACAACCAAGTGTGATGTTTGGAGAGTGAGGCAGTTAGATTATAGAAGTTTAGCTGATGTCTAGCATGGTCTTTATATTCACAAATTCAGTGATATTTCTTCTACTATACTTATTGTTTAAGGGTATAGCGGATTTCAGCCTTATGGTGTAACAGGCTCAGTTTCTTATTGCAGCAGCTTTTTCTGGATATCCACACATTCATTTCTTTAGCTTCAGCATCCAGTCTCACTGGCTTGCACACAGGCAGGCAGGTGGCTCGCTCTTTCTTGATGCTTAGTCTGATTGTGCAACCTGTTGTTTTGGTGAAAGGATTTTTTTCCTAACACTCTTTTTATGGTCTCTATCTCATTAACTGCAGTTCATAACATTTTTTAGCAAAATTTTTTAGCCTCTTAATTATATTTTTTTTCTCTATGTACAATGTTTTTATCAACAAAAATTACAACCTGTTGTTTCTGCTTGCATTCTCATAAGTACATGGCTTGTCTTCCTTTTGGGGAAGATAAATTACTGTTAGTTATGGTCTTAGATGAAAAGATGAAATTGCAGGTTAGGCTTTTCTAACTTCACAGTATCGTAGAAAGTGTATGCGAAACACTTCAGAGCGTGTGTTTTAATTGTGCCATGTCAAAGGTAAATATGGTCCAGTAGGCACACATATCACATGAAAAAGTACTTTTTCTAAAATATCCAAACTACAGAATGTTAAATTATGCTGTTAAACATAGACAGTTCTTTTGGGGGACATGTTATATAAATTAAATAAGAAAGTAGTCAGGACCAACTTTGAACATGAGCATATTTTTATATCCATGCTTCAACATGGAATCCACTTCATTTTTTGATGCTTCATACTTTCCAGGCTGTTCTCTGATTTTGCCTTCTCCAGGTCTTGATTATTAGAAATGAATGTTTCAAATTAAAAACAAACAAAAACCACACAAAAATCCCAAACAAAAACCAGCAAACCCCAAAATAAACAAAACCCAACTCTTATTAATCACTTTTGACCAAATACTCATTCTGCTGCTTCAGCTACTTCTATTTTTGCAATTTACTTCTTTAGTGATACTGTTTCCTGCCTTTGATCTGCATTGCTAGACAAGTACCTGGTGTCAATAGAATCTTGAATCTTTTATGAAATACTTTCTTTTTCTTGTTTGAATTCATCCAAAAATGTGTAACTTTTAAATTTAAAAACTTGCTATCATTCTCACCCTAAATCTCCGAATTGGAGATAGCTTTTCTGGGTAGTAGAAATTACTTCTCTGCATACATGTCATCTTTAACTTTCATGTTCTAAAGATAGAAGATTAACATATGTTAATCAGGATTCATAGTTTGGGGTCTCTTTTCCATGGCCAGGATGCCCAAGATGTGAATGGTTTTTAGGCTTCCTCTCCCTCAACCCTAGTATCTCCCTTTTTTCATTCTAAAGAGCAGCAGATTTTAACCATCATATTAGTCACAGATTTATTCTCAGCGATTTCTTTTTCACAGACTTGGGTCCTGGCCTCTGATTTCTCCATCCGTTGCTCCACATTCACCATGTGCCTGTCTAGTTTCCCAGCTTTTGATGAGAGGTTCTCTACCTTGCCTTCCATTGAGGACAATGTGTTCTGCATTGCCCTGAATTTCACATGAAGTGACTCCATCAGCTCATGGGGGAAACTGCTCTGCTGCGATGTGGAAAAAGTCGACGAGTCCAATGAAGATAGACAAGATGACAGCATCATCTCAGGCCAGGGCACAGGAAGGCATGTAGACTAAGAAGACTAAAGAAATTGTTCTTGTCATTCTTGTCTTTATTTGGGGCATAATTTTGCTCTGATTTTCAGTTGCAGACATCTTAGGTAACTTACTGAGCTCATCGTACATTAAAATATTTAAGACATAAAAAGGTGCACAAATGTAGCAGAAATTCTGAATAAAAGCAGTTTTTCACCTGAGTCAGGCTCTACCCCTGCTGTCTCCACGCACTCACTAGAACACTTTCTGTGGTCTGATGTACATGCACATAGCACCATGTTTCCTTTCAGTCATATTATCAGTTTGTAAGTTGTTAGTACCATGAAATACAATTAGGCATTGTGGCACTCTGAAGAGAACTCCATGTTTATTATATTACAAAGGTGTATGGTATTAAATAGACTACAGTAATGGAAAAGAGCTATGACATACATATGGGATTTAATTTTACGTACATAGAAGCTTTTTGTCTGTATGATACCTTGTTTTGATTCTGGTAGGGAGTTTGGGAGGGCATAGTAGTTCTTGCTTCTGGACACTTTTTCAGGCTGATGTACAGTTAGAGCATAGGCATGTGTCTTTTCAAGATTTACATACCGTGAAAACCCAAATAGAAAGGAATAGAAAGTGCTTTACTTGATTCCAGTATTCAGCATCATGGAACTCTGTTCTAGTACCTAGGATGTACTGGGCCTGGAGGACTCTCAGGTTTATCTAAGAGCATGCAGTAAAGTTGTGTAGAATTAGGGAAAGTCTGTCTCATTTCTTGGGGTTGCAGTATTTATAATTTTACCGTTTTGATCCAAGATAAATTTATGGTGATATTTGAAAGAAGTTGACATATACTAATGAGAGAATTGTTAGGAAGTAACAGCAGAAGTTTTGTCAATTAGTATCCCCATAAGAGTGTTAAGGAAATAAGAGTTTCTAGCTAGTGTTTCTTTCAATTTGAACTAATTAGCATTCTGCTTATTTCACTTCTTAAAAATAACTTTGTGGAACCTAGATTATTAGAAGAAATAGTTTTAAGTAAGAGGTTGTAAGTACAATAAAAAGTGGATTTGTATTCTGAATTCAGAATTGTGTTCTAGTGGTAGCTGTGCTTTTTATGAAAAGGAATGTAGCTAAGTGTCGTCTTGTTCAGCCAAGCAGTTGATGAATTTGTGAGTGTCTTGCATTTGCTTACAGGGTATGGTTGTAGCAATTAGCCTCAAGAGTTTGATGACTTTTATTGTCATTAAAGCTAACTGACATCAGTCTTATGTTACAGTATGGTGTATGTGGTCACCAGCAAGTTGTTATCTAGTAATTTGGGGGAAAACAGAAACAGAATTTTTCTGTAGCTTAGTATTCTTCTCAGGACAGACCTATCTGCAGAGAGAAATCACTGTCTGGGGGAGCGAGGGAGGGAAGGGTTTCTGTTGTTCTTGGTTTTGTTTTTGTTTTTTTCTGGACTATGATACGAATCAATATAGTATTAAGAACCTCTTGATCAATGGGTAGCAGTATAGAAATTGTACAAAATAAAATCCGTAATTTTTATTTTATTCACATTTATTCTGTTGAACTTTTAAGAAAAAATGTCATAAAACCAAATAAAATATTATTTTCCAAGCAGAAATTAGAGTGCCTGATAAGCTGGACTCGTCAGTCTGGGAGCATCCGGATTCCACACACGTGAATGGAGCTGACTTTGATCTCACTGTTCTGTCCATGGCTGAAATAGCATCTTGTAGTTACGAAGCCAGGTAGGTAAAAGTTACCTATTACATTGCTTGGAAGTCTCACAAAGATAAGCATAAAGTGTCCAAAAATAGAATTTGTTAAGTCAGTTTCTTTAAATTTATCTGCGGAGTATGTTTTTTTAATGTTTTCAGAAAATGTAGTTATATAGGTTGTTAGAATTTAACACAAGGCCTTCCCTATGGACGCTGCTGCTTTTTAAACACTGCTTAAAAGCTTTCTACCTCACCTGCATGTTACTTGAAACAAAGCCTATTAAGGAAAACCTTATGCCATTCACTGTGATATTGTTGATTTCACAGTGTTATCTTCACTTCTTTGTATCAAAATGCATTCTTTTATGGAATTAAGAATGCTTTGTTATGAAGGCTTTTAGTTAGACAGTAACTGTGATTACTAAACTTAAAACCATTTCTTGTACAGTAACATAGCTTATAAATGTTCAGAATATGAAACAACTTATTATAAATATAAGTACGGTGTTGGAAATACGATTTTCTTCTCTGATGGAAATAATACTCCACAAATTATTCCTTCATTGGAACCTTTCTCAAGCATGCTAGGATAGGCAGGCTTATATTTGTAGCTAAAAAAGTCAGAGTTTATTTATTATTTTATTTATTATTACCTAGTTTTGTAAGCTTGCACAGTGAAATATAAGATCCATTTACCTTAGTCACTGTAGTATATGTGTGGTTTCAGTTTGAAACAGAAGATAGAAGTAGTGCTTTCTGGAGACTTTGTCTTGAACATCTTCCCAAAGACAGGCTGTCCATGCTGCATGCCAGGTTATTACACAGCTAATTCAAATACTCTATTTGCAGTTACTTTTCTTCCCTACTAAATTGCTAGCAGTTGGACTAAATCCCGTTTTATTGATAATTCATTTTTTGTGGGAAAAGACAAGTACTTCATTTGGAATTACCCCGTATTAATTTCAGGATAAGTTGGTGCTGTGTTTATTTATTTGTTTGTTTGTTTTAATTTAATTATAGACAAGTCGGCATAAAGAATGGAATGTTTTTTGGCCAAGCAAAAAAGTTGTGTCCAAATCTTCAAGCAGTTTCGTATGATTTTGATGCGTACAAAGAAGTTGCACGGACAGTATATGAAATATTAGCAAGGTAATATGTGCTGGTTTTTTTACATGATCTTTAGTGGTGGGGTTATCCAGCATATTTTATTCACCACTGCTGAAGGCCATTATTTGATTTTAGTATTTTTATCTCCATATTACTCTTCAGCTTCAATAAACCATTCCTGTTTGAGGTCTTCCTTTTGCTGTAGTTTTGTTATTTTGAGCACTGTGCTGCTTCTGAGTATTCTTTTACCTTGAAGCCAAACCCTGTAAACAGTCAACATCTGACTTCCAAAGGAGCCATTGTTAATTGTTTTTACTGAGTACGCTGTGAGAAGCAGATCCATGCTTAGTAGTCAGGTTCTTCCAAGAGGTTTTTTGAGCAACTTAAGAATGAGTTATTGGAGTAACATCTATTCATAACTACTTTCTGGTTCAAAACGGGCTTGAACAAAACTGGCCATTTGTTGTTGACAATGACAAATAAGCATTCAACTCCTTCTCCTTTAAAATCATGTTGGAATAACCTCCCAAGGGAAGTGATAAATTCCCCTGCACTGGTCAGTTTTAAGAGTTAGCTTGACAGGGTGCTGACTCATCTCATTTAAATGATATTTTTACCTTGGGAGGTTGGACTAGGAGATCCTTGTGGTCTCTTCCAATCTGGTATTCTATGATTCTATGATAATGCATGTTGAAATTAGTCCTACATTAGTAATGTTACTGTAATTTGCTATTTTAGCATTTATAATATGTAAGTGATGTGTGATACAAAATAAGCAGGGAAATGCCACCACAAAAGGAAGGCTTTATTTGCTACATATTTGTTTTAACAGATGGTGAGCTGTTGCTGGTGTTTCACCTCCTTTACTTTGTGTTGATAGCTATACTCATAACATCGAAGCAGTCAGTTGTGATGAAGCACTAGTAGATATCACTGAAATCCTTACAGAGACCAGATTGACTCCTGATGAACTTGCAAATGCTATCCGCACTGAAATCAAAGCCCAAACTAAATGCACAGCTTCTGTTGGGATGGGTAAGTATCTTGCTTCATTTCTGTTTACAAACAGTGCCTGATGCTGTTAGGTGTGTCAAAACTATATAAGGTTGCTAAAACTCTTAAGTGTTTGTGCAATATGGAATGTTTTGCCATTTACATTAAATCAGTGTAAATAAAAATGCCATAAAATCTTTGTAAGTGGAACGTTTTAAGCAAAAATTTATAAAACTGCCATCACTTCTCCTTTATCTGAACAGTATGCTGAAATTCCATCTATATGATATTCTTACATTCATCTTTATGAAATGCTACTGTATTTTTCCAGTAAATGGAAGAACGAGCACAGACTCTGTTTTTTATCAGAGAAAGAAGTCAGAGTTTACAGGATGACATGATTTAGCATAATTATTAGAAGGTATTGAAAGCAAAGATTTGTGTGATTTGTAGTAGGTATTGTATCACACATCTGAAAAGTATTCCTTGATTTCTTTTCACTTGGCCCCTTCCTTTCTCCTTTGCTTTTGTCCCTAATTAATACTAGAGTTGAATATCTGTAAATAAATATGCTGGGTGTATGTAAGTGTATGAAATCCACTTGTGAGACAAGCTGAAACTTATTTTCTGTAAGCAAAATTCTTCCTTTATTTTGTATGTTATGATAGTGTAGAGACTGTAATTCCCTAGTTTCCTGCTTGTGTGTTGTTTTGACTTGAAACTGACTTGTAAGCACTTTTATATGCTTATTCAGTGTTTGGTGTTTTCTGTAGAAAGAGTGGAATTAGTATTTAAAGCATTATTTTCTAATCTGATATTGTACTTCTCTTACTGATTGAAAGAGACAGATACCTATGAGCAGGTTTTTTCCTAATAATTTTTGTGAGCTATTGGAAAATAATTCTGGTACCCTTTCTACAAGTCTGTATGATTGGTACATGATGACAAGGACTTTGTCCCTTCACTCCTAATCCATCGCTAAGTAAATAAATCAGAGAAAACAGTTGTACTGTTAAATTAAAGTAGAGACCTTATTTCAAAAACTTGTTCTGCCAGAAACATGCATCTTGTGTAAGTGATTGATGTGTTTCCCAATATAATGTAAATTTGAATAGATACTCTTATACTATTGAGATCTCTCAACACTGTTGTCTGATTAGAGATAAATTGAAGAAGGACCTGCTTATGCCAGTTGAATAAATTTAATTTTTACTCTAGAGACTTTTAGTGGCTAAACTAAACAATGTTGGTGAAAGATTAAACACTCATCTATAAACATCCTGCATCTTGGTTTCTCATTTGTTAAATGAGGTGGTATTTTTTTCCTGCTTCACTTCAGTGTTGTGGCAATAACACATCGCATTAGGTAAATCACTGAGATTTCGTGGTATTAGAGGCTATTGGAATGTTTGATAGATAAGAGGATCAGAAATCTCCAGTACTCTGTAGAGTACATGGATCCTCAGAGTTGAACAGGAAATTGAATGAGGCATCTGTCATTAATTGTTTCATCAATTTAACCTCTCTGGAGAAACAGTGCATGTGAAACTCTGTTGCTCTTCTTACTGAATAACATTTTAGAATCCACAAAAACAGTGTAAACATAGGTGGGAGGAGTGGAGCAGTAGTAACACACAGTGCTGTGAATTGTGAATTCTTCTGACCTTTAGTTAGTTTGCCTTATCTTAGATCAGGGTGTTTGAGTGGCAATAATGAATGTGTTTGGGTAGCACTTCTGAGACCTTATTGGCTGGGCCTGAGTAAACCTATAAACAGCAAAGAAAAAATGCTGAAATAGGTCTTGTTCCCACCACGCTTTGAGTGCATGTAATAATTTAGTAAAATCACTGGATGTTTTTTAGTGAATGCTCAGGCCCAAATACTAGCTTAAGTCCAGTATTTCACATAAAATATACTTGATAGAACTGTCACCTAAGTATTTTCATTAACCACAGTGGATTTTTTGAGGTTCTGCAGTGTTAAAATATTGTACTTTTTTTTTGCCATTTCACAGAATCACAGAATCACAGA